GGGGGCAAATTTGTTGTTCACATCAGTCTCAGCACTGAAGTCAAGGACTATTTATCCCTTTACATGCCACAAATTGAATTGGTTGCTTCATGCACCATTCCATAGTAATTTCTCCAGAATCTTTTTCTATAGGAGCTTTGTTATGTTTTATTGGCACTTCTGGAGTACTACTGAACCAGTGCATTATAACTATATTGTCTGAATACAGGAGAACCAGAATCATTTGCATACTAGTGGTTTGCAATCTGCTCAATTTGCAGCAGGGTGCTGAGTAAAGGATGGACAGTTGAGGTGTTCTGTTGCAGTGCTGATGCCTCTTCTCCACTGCGGTGGAGCTTATTAGAGATCTTGCACAGCTGATTAAGGAAGCAGCACCCTTCAAAATAAATGCTGCAGCAAACAGCTGAAACATCTCAGTGGTCTTGTGGAGCTGTTTACTGTGGCTACCCTATATTACTATGTAAATCTTCATCTTTGTGAGGGGGCTGGCAAGAAACCTAACCTTGCAAAGTGTCTGGGCTCTACTATAACAACAGGCAAAATTATATTTTCCTTCTTTGTATTTTACAGTGTGGCTGAGACCCAGACGTCTATATCATCCATAAGAGGGTTGAAGAATTCTTCAGGTATATTGTTGGCATATTTTTTTCTCCTTAATGGTAAACTTAAGTCCAGTCCAAACATGCTTTTAAAATAGCACAGTGTGCTTGGATCTTTAAAACTTAAGACATGCACAAGATTAGAAGAACTAACTGCATAGCAGTCTTCAGTATGTTATCATCCTGCCTTTTACAATGTGTACTATACTTCATTTTCCCTTCTGCAGTACAGTCTCCAATGGGAGCTGGGGTAAAACTTGGTGATTTGGAAATAGTGGGGATAACCCTTCAGCTAAGTAGTAAATTCTTCTGGAGATGAACTTGTTCAGATTATTAAAAAATGCAGCTGCTTGGTGATCATAGGGTTTCTTCACTTGTCTCGCACTGTAGGTATACATATCAGCTTTTTAGTTGCACTAAGTAGTCTTTGTAGCTTTGTCAGTCCATGGATTTCTCTCACTCACCTCTGATCATAGAACCCTAAATAGCATAGTTATCAGCCCTAGTTGTACCTCTCTATTTCATGAATACGTGCATAGGATTTTCCCAACTGTTTCTTTGAACAAACCTCTGCCAGTTCCCTTCTAATGTTCTTTTACCTCTGCCCTTCTGAAGAGCTTTCCTAGCCAGATATTGGCTACATTGAACCTCTTTGGTGTTAGCCTTCCCAGGCTTTCCAGACCAAGCCCTATTTTCAGGCCTTTTCCCTGGGTTACTGTGGAGACCCTTCTCAGTATGTCTGGCTTCTACTGAGAGAAGGCTGCCTACTTTTACCTTATCTGGTGGTCAGTCATATGATCCTTCTGTCATTAATGTTTTTCCCTTGAAGACTGCAGCTGAACTGCTAATTTGTAAGTAGCTGAGATCTTTTGTTTGTTATGCTAGCTGCACCTGTAATTAAATGGCTACTGGTCTGGTTTCGTGAAGTATTTTTACTTGAACAGATGCCTTATTTAAAGTACATGCCTTGATATCTTTCTCTTGTATAGAAGTGTCTTCAGAGCCAGGTGAGGATGAAGAACCTACAGAAGGGAACTTTGAAGGACATGAAGCTGCTGTAAATGCTATTCAGATTTTTGGGAATTTGTTATATACCTGCTCAGCAGACAAAACTGTCCGTGCCTACAATTTGGTTGTAAGTGAAGTCTTCATGTTCACATCCTGCTAGTAATATTTTGCAGCTATGTGGTTTGCATCTCCCTTTTTCTTTCTGCATTTTTTTTCTGTGGGTTGAAGGAACTATCTTAAGGAATCAGAAATCACAGTTACTGTTGTGTGTTGCTGTTTATATCTCTGCAGAGCATGCAGTAACTTTCTTACTATTGATCAATCTAAATTCTCCCATTATGGATTTTGTACCCTTGCTTTCAGAATAAAATCATGACTTTAAAATAAGCAATTACCTTGATGAGAAATTTGATCTGTCTGTTGAAAATACTTAGTGTGTGCTGGACACCAGATATACAAGTTTCCCAATCTGTCATGGGGAGTAGGGAGGGACCATGACTTCTGGACTTCTTCCAGAACTGTCTTTGCTTACCCAACTGATAACTTGGCATAAGAAGTGAAAAACAAGCCTTTCCTGGCTAGATGGCAAGGGGAGTTTCTTCAGGACATGCATTTTTATTTTCCACAGGAAAGTAGGCAGAATGTAAGTCAGTAGCTCTTTCTTGGAGGCTTGAGTGTGTGGCATGTACTTTCAAAAGCCCCCCCCCCCATGTATATTCCAGAACAAATGTAATATTTACTCAGACTGATTGATTGTATCTACTGTTTAGTATATCAACAAGCTTAATATTAATCCTATATAAGCAATAAGTCATCAGAACTCATGAAAGTGCTAAAAATGGATAGCCATATGCGGACTACATTCAGGTACATAAAAAGGAAAATTTTTAAACAAGATCATACCACCCAAAATTTTTATGGCTAGTTTTCTAATCCAGGATTAAATACCTGGTAAGTGTACAAATGCTTTCCATCCATAAAGTTCAAAGTACATTACAAAAATGGTAATGACCCTGATTTCCTGATTGCAAGTTATGTATGCACTGCATGATGCTACCTTTTTTAAAACTTTCTTTAGCATGACCGTATTTAACACAACATAGATGGTTGTCTGTTTGGGCCTGTGTATGTGTTTTTGATTTCATTTGGACTAGAATTCAGGAATATTTTGTTAAATAGGAATTCTGCATTACAAGCTTCTATTATTGTTTTATCTGTCTTTGTTGCAATGGGTGCTAATTAATTGCAGGAAATTAACGGGTGGATTTGGATAGTAGTGTCCTGCTCCTTCACTAGAATCAGTGTATGTTTAAACATAGGGTAGGGTATTGATATTAAACTGGATAACAGACTTTGTGTTTTGCTTTAGAGCAGAAAATGTGTCCGTGTTTTTGAAGGACATACTTCAAAAGTGAACTGCCTTCTGGTTACTCAGACATATGGAAAGAATGGAGTCCTCTACACTGGCTCTAGTGACCACAATATCAACTGTTACAACATTAAGGTACTTATAAGCATTGTATTAAACTATAACCACCTTATATGTGAGTGTCTGGAGGGAATTTGCATTAAAAAAAACCCCAAAAAAGTTAAACCTTTCAAATTCATGTGTGCTAGCCATTATTCCCATTCTACATATGTCACAAATTTCTTAAAAATCTAGTGAACCTTGAATATATGTCTCATTAAGAAACTGAGTGTCTTTCAGCTTGTGGACTTTTTGAAGTCATGTTTGTGGCTTTGATAGAAAATTAGACATAAATAATGTAAATGAGAGAGAAGATGCACAGTTCCTGCTGGACTGCTTCCTAAATATTTGGAATTTTAATATTCATTGGCATAGGTGGAATAGTGGGCTTGGTGTAGGTAACTCAGTTAAGCAACTATTTCACCTGGAAAAACCTCTCTCTTTCAAAATATCCATTTTTCAGTAATCAACTGCTTTTTGATCAGTACAGAGGCAGTGCATCAAGTGAGATGAGGAGTAGGGCTAGATAACTGAAGAGAGGCTGCCATCTAGAGGTGCGCATCCAAGTTAACTTGTGATACTTATTTTTCTCAGCTGGCTATGGAAGGTGCAGTTCTTGGCATCATAGGCAGCATAGCTGTCATAGGAATTGACTCCATACTGAGGGATGAAGTTGTACCTCTTGTACTTGAGATGGGGTCAAAATGGGAGAGAAGTTCTGAGCTGGAGCTTGAAAGGAAGGGTTATCCCCTCCTAACGAGTAAAGGTGTTTCTGGAAGGACTGCAAATACGATAATTTGTCCATGTGACATACCTTTAAAAATTAGTAATGGAGCCTCCTAATTCAGGGCTAATTTCGTATTTATTGCTTGTATTTTTTTTACATGCACTAAAGGTTGTTACAACTTTTAGGTGTGTAGCTAATTGTTAAAGTAAGACCAGTTGAGGTGAGTTCTGTTTGGACAGAGGGACTACACCGCTGTTGAAATAAAACTGATATCAGTCCCAGACTGTGCGTCTTCCCAGGAAAATCTCCCAATTTTCTGATAAGATAAATGACACTCTTTCTTGTCCCAGTTATCTAGAAATATTCTTCCCCACTGCCCCCAAACCTTTCAGCTCAGCTAATGGCAAAATGTAACTGTTTGTTTCCTTCTGTCAGACCAGAGTGTGCATAGAACAGTTTAAATTGGAAGACCGGGTGCTCTGTCTACATAGTCGATGGCGAATTCTCTTTGCGGGCTTGGCAAATGGCAGCGTGGTCACTTTCAGTATAAAGGTCAGCATGTTAGAAAACCAGCAAGTGAACTCCACATTGAGGCATTTGATCAAATCTCATTCTTTGTTCCCACCATGTTCCCCTTTATTTTTTTTTCTCTCCAACAGCAAGAACAGTGATAAATGTAATATGTCTGTGTAGGCATTAATGCATAAATGAAAAATGCCTTGCATGGCCCTGTCTAAAGCCTTTTCCCCTGCAGTTCCTCTCATTTGCCTCAATATGTTTTCAGAAGAATTTCCTGGCCTACCTCAAGATGTTATTTTTCTGAATCTTCATGGCTCATGTGATCTAAAGGCATGTTTTACTTTGGCTGCTAATGCTCCCTACATCAGTGCTTCCCAAACTCTTCCTTGGCATGACCCCATTTATGTCCCCATTTTCTTAGCAAGACCCCATTTTCCTCAACATACCCCCTCCCAATCTGCAGCCTCCCACACCCCAGGTGCCCCTTGCTCCCCACCCATAGCCCCCTGCCTGCCTGCCCCCCCCTCCCCAACCCTGCAGGCAGGGGTCTCCCAGTGACCAGGGCTATGGGACCAGAGGCAGGAGCTGTGGCCCGCAGCCCCTTGCTGTGCCCAGCAGCACTTGGACCCCAGCTGCCACCCACGAGAGGCAGTGGCTGCTGTGGCTGGAGCAGAGCCTGGCTCCTAACCCCCGCCCTGCCCCCTGTGTGGGTAGGCAGTACATCCAGAGTGTTGCCCGGTGGGGACAGGGGATGAGGGGAGGGAAGGCTGCCTGCTGCTGGCCTGGGGCTTCCTGTCCTGCTGCCCTCTCTTGAGCACCTCTGCAGCCCAGCAGGTGGTAGCTAGTGCTGGGAGTCCCACCTCCACCATGTTGTTATGGTGGTGACCCGTGCCCACCCAGCAGCACAGCACTGTGGTCCCTGCTGCTGCTAGGTGGACAGGGGGCACCTCACCATGGCAGCTGCATTGAGCCTCCCCACTCTGCTCTGCTATGAGGGTCCCTGGGGGAAGGCAGCAGGACAGGGAGCCCTGAGCCTGCAGCAGGTAGCCCACATCTGACCCTGCCCCATACATATGTCTGCGGGGGGGCATGTCCCCCCCATGCCTCCCTCCCTGGACATGCATAACCCCATTTTTTAATCTTTGTGCCCCCAAGATTGGGAACCACTGCCCTACACCCTTGTGAGATGGGTTTACTATAGAGTGTATGCAATGTTCACGTAAATTATTTTTCCCTTCTCACATTGCATATTTAAATCTAGAAGAAAAGGTAGCAGGCCTTGGCCTTTGCAGAAAACTAAGTGAGCATACAGACTTTTTAAAGCAAAGTTATTTTAAAATGATGGGCTAATCTGATGCTTTGTCTGTATAGACTTGAGACTTATTAAAGTATTCTTGCAAAAATAAGGATTGTAAGGAGCTCTCAGAAAGCATGTTCTAAGATGGCTGTACAGCTGGAAGCTCACAGTCCTCCTGCAGCCAGTGAGGGGTTAAAATTCAGCCCCTGTGTCTCACCTGGCTGCCATTTGACCTATGCTCTGGTTGAAGCAGCAGCTGGGGTCTCGGGGATCCCTCTCTCTCCCTCAGTTTCTGTTGCCTGACCTAGCCTCCAGGTGAGCCAGGAGCCTAAAGAACCTGTATGGCATGGTGCTGCAGGAGAGCCTGCAGAGCTGTAGGTGTAGCTGGATGAGTGCCTGCCTGCCCACCCAGCTGTGTGTATTGTGTGCAGCCCCAGCCACTGAAAAGCTGGACCACCCTATTCTGAGATAAAAAGCAAAAGCATTTTATTAGAGAAACTTAAATTACTTTCAAATAATTGTCACCCTGAATATGTGAAAAAACATGCGTCATAATCATTCAGTTCCTAAGTACCACTGCAGAAAAATACAATTTATTTTTATAGCCCTAAGTGTAAGCAAACTCACTGGGAGGACGTTAAATGGAGGTGAAATAATTAAAAAGCAAACTGAGCATTGGGAAATGTAAAAGACTTACTTGTTGGAAGCAGCTCATTGGGAGCTAAGAATTTGTTTTGCATTCTTAATTTAATCCAAGAGTGCAATCTAATAATATTGCATCTGTGGTAGGAATTGCACATTTTCTGGCTTTTTAGCCAAGATCAAGCATCTTATCTGAAACACCCCATGTTTGAGGTATCTTGAAATTCATTACAAGTTCTAACTGCATTTGGTTAATACATTTGAAATTTGTATTTTTATTCTCCAGAACAACAAGCAACTGGACACCTTTGAATGCCATGGCCCTAGAGCAGTGAGCTGTCTAGCCACGGCTCAGGAAGGGGCACGCAAATTGTTAGTAGTGGGATCCTATGACTGTACCATCAGTGTGCGGGATGCTCGAAATGGACTGCTTCTCCGAACCCTTGAAGGTCATAGTAAAACAATACTGTGCATGAAGGCAAGTGTCCTGGAAAATGTAGGATTATATCATTTGTCAAACTAAAGTTAAAAACGGTCTACTTCAGCTGTTTCAATAGACTGACATTTTGAAGATGTAATGTGACATAAATGTGCCCTGCATTTAACTAAACATAAAAATTCATTAATCTGTTACGCACATTATCCGACTTTGAGCTCTTTTTTCACACTATCACAGCTGTTATGTTTCCCAGCCTGTTGCCGGTATACGCACAAGGCATGTTGATTTAAATCTGCTAGAAACCTAAGGTGGTGAATTAATGTTAACTTGCCAAGTGGGTGGATGTTATAAAGAAAAGCTGACTTTTTGCCTGTCTTAACTGTAACGCACTCTGAAAAAAGTTCTTCACAATGTTTTAAACAACTTTTAAGGAATTGTTTTTTCCTCATTAATCTTTGTCTAAACACTTTTTTGTACTCTGTATGACTCTTTTGGAGTTTCTTTATGACCAAAATTGTAATACTGGTTCAACCAGCCAAGCATGGATGTAATAATACTTTTATAAAGATGCCCAAACTTTTTTGTAGTTAGAAACTAGAATAACTGTTCTTGTACATCTTCAGCATCTACAGCTACATTCACATTAGGAAAATTGTATCACCCAACTACACTGGTATAATTAGTGGCATAAATAATGTATACTTGCTTTAAATCTCTTATCATGTGACCTAGACGAGTATAACACACAGTAAACGTGTGTATATGACTGCATGTGTGTCTCTTTCTTTCCCCCTGCCCCGTAATCTTGAATTCTTCATTATGTGCTTCACCTGCTGCCAGCCGGACCTGGATTAAAACTGATAATTATGGGGTGAAAGTTTTTTTTTTTTCTTTTCTTGTTCTTGGTTAGAACAGATATAGCTAATATTTTACTAACCTCTAGGGAAAATAATAGATCTTGAAGATAAAGCTGATTTAAACACACATTTTAATTCACCCAGTTGCACAGAATATGACATTTGTTTCTCTGGATAATGGTTTACTCTAACTAAAAGCTGTAATTTACTGTGTGACACATGTAGAGTGTGTATGTAAATGTCAAAGGAATGTCAGCTCAACATTTTAATGTGTTTGGTAACGGTGGATATTTCATTTTTAAGATGTTCTTCACAATATCTTTAAAGACTAAGTTATAAAGGATAGGCAACGTGACACTATATTGCTACTTTTTAAAATAAATCAAGTAGGGCATACTTGTTTTACTTGCATGTTTGAAAATATATGATACTAAAGTCAGGATTTAACTCTGTTTTTTAAAGGTTGTAAATGATCTGGTGTTCAGTGGCTCTAGTGATCAGTCTGTCCATGCACACAATATACATGTAAGTCATGCACATTGTTTCATCTGTCAAAACAAAAAAGCACACCCTTAAATTGTGAAAGCTGATCCCTGAGTTCCTGGAATACTTGCTGCAGATTTCACTTTGAACATTGTTCCCTCTTGATTTACATGGCTGTTAGCTCTATCCCTTTCCTCATTACCCATGCCTTCCTTTGTCTTTCTATTTAGCTACTCTCTTCTTTTGAAACCACAGTCTGATACCAACGTGGTATTTCAAGTTATTTTTCTATGCCTGTAATCTATTGCTTTCCATACTTTGTTTCATTATTTAGATTGTAAGCTCATTAGGATAGAACTTCTCTTCCCATTTTCATGCAGTGTCGTGCACAATCGGTACTTGGCCCTCCAGTTAATCAGATAATAGAATAGATATAACTAATGATTAAAAAGTAGTTCTAAGAATACTAGTAGTGGAATTTGAATTCCTAACAATGAGCAAGAAACCTATTATTTTGCTGTTTACATGTTTTAGTGAACACTTCCTTTACTTTGTCTTGGCACAGACAGGAGAGCTTGTACGAATCTATAAAGGGCACAATCATGCAGTAACTGTTGTTAATATTCTGGGGAAGGTGATGGTGACAGCCTGCCTGGATAAATTTGTCCGTGTTTATGAGCTACAGGTAAGAGAGCAGATGCTGTCCAGTAACAACATTTACCTATTAGTTTTGTGTGTGCTTGAGATTTCATGGCAAAATACTATAAAAGTTACCTTCACTTAGTGGTCTCTAGCCCCTCCCTCTCCTCCTGCTCATAATACTCCACCTTCTCGACCAAAGAATTCTGGTCTTTTAAAAATAATTCACAAGAGAGCCTGGCTCCAGCAGGTGGTTGGTTCTTGAATTTTAAGTAGTTTTATTTCTGTGTCTGAGCATCAAGGTTTTGAGGGAGGAAGGAAAGGGGGTTGTTAAAAGGCTGGTCTTTTATTTTATAAATCCATGTAAACTGGACCGGCACAGTGGTCTGTCTCTTTGTGGCCAGGGCCCTCATTTTGGTCTGTTTCATGTTTGATTTGGCAGAAGCTGAGAGGGTCAACATGGCTATAGCCTTTACCCTGAAAAAGGAATAATAGGAAAATTAAGGTTGGAAGGAACCTCAGGAGGTCATGTAGTCCAACCCCCTGCTCAAAGCAAAACCATTCCCAGCTTTATCAAAAGGAATGCTTTTCATTGTTAAATTATTTTTGCTAATAGTGGTGGCAGGTTCTGAAAGGAGACCAATCTAGCCTTCAATTGCTAGAAGGATGTGAATAACTGAAAGATAAGCAAAATGGTAGGATCTTTGCAGCTATTTAAAAAAAAAAACAACCCAGCAAAAACCAAAACCCATGATTAAGTGCACTTTGTGGTGGTTGGTTGCAGAACTCACTAGGAGCTGATTAATATTTTGCATGTCTGTGTGTATACTTTAAATAGTCCACCGTATGGTTATGCAAAAAAATAAAATTCCTGCATAGTGTCAAATGATTAAATATCTGTTTCTATTTCTCTTCCACTCAAGTCTCATGACCGTTTGCAAGTCTATGGAGGACACACAGATATGATCATGTGTATGACCATTCATAAGAGCATGGTAATGTTCCTCCTTGTATTGATCTCAGGTAGAAAGTCTTATTTGTCAGCTGTTTGTGATGTTGAGGCCACTGGTGATTTTTAGATTTTTTCAGCAGTTTTAGATTATTTTGGTTATTATAAAAGTTATCCGTTTCCAGACTCAGTACTATAGAAAGGAGCTCTTAAAATGGTAGCAAAAATGATTATTACATATCCAGATAAGTAAAGCTATTTAGTAATTTCATAAAGTTAATGTTCTTGATCACTTTGGGAAAAGCTGCATTCTCTGATTGTAGCAATATCTCTAAATAAGGTTATAGTCTTAAGATTACAATGCATTATTTGCAATCAGTATTCTTGAAATAGTAAAACTCTTTCTCTGTGTCTGTCTGTCCTGTTTTTAGAATTGTCTCTAGTCTTTACATGACTAAAGTCAGTAGAATCACCACTGTCAAATGTTTTCTAACTCTCAGGACCAAACCTGCAAATGAACTTGTGTTAAGGTGTATGCCATTTTTTGTATTAATTAACTGGGGATTACAAATATCCCAGTGTACAATCAAATTATGGTTTATGCACAGGGTTTGGGTACATGCCTACTGCTGCACAGCTTGAAAACATATTCTTGTGCCACATGGTTGCAATTTTGTTCCTAATCTCTTAACACGTTTTCTACTTTAATCTGAATAATTCTAGTTTTTAGCATTGTAACAACAAATGAATGAATGCCCTTCATTTTTCCTCCCAGATCAGGGGTTGGTAATCTGTCAGCAATGATGAGCCAAATTAATGCACCATGGCCTGGTGATTCTTACCACCCTGGATAGTGGGCTGAATAAAATGTCACCAAGTTGCTCACAGACTGCAGGTTGCAGAAGTGGGGTTCTGTTTTTGTTGTTTTTGCTCTAGAAATCTAGTTATAAATTTAACAAGCAAATCCTGGAGATCTTTTTAATGGAGTCTATTTTTAACTTGCCTGTCACTATTTTTAACTCGCCTTTCATATTAAAAGTGAAAACTCTATTGCTCCAAAAGTCTATATACTATACATAACAAAACCATTTTTTAATTTAGTTGGGATGATGGAAATTAGAAAAGGCTTTCTCTCATTTTGGTTCTTGGGTCATGCTTCAGTTGAGATTTATGCATGCAAGGAAGTGTAAGAAGTATTTTAAAATCTTAAATTCTATGTCTAAGCTAAATGCTTTTAAAACTAGAAGTCTTGCATGCTATGTTCTCTACTTGTATTTCATGGTAGGGTCTTCTTTGTAGCATTTTAAGAGTATTTTTTCCTCCTTTTCTTCACAATTTTTCCTTTGCAGATCTACACTGGCTGTTACGATGGCAGTGTCCAAGCTGTGCGGCTTAACCTGATGCAGAATTACCGCTGCTGGGTAAAGAACGGAGCACTTCTAACGTTCATTTTTTCTGGGTGACTTGTTAGAATTCCCTGATCAGTTTCCTGTGTCCAGACACAACTGAGGGGGTTGAGTGCATTCATTTTTCAAGATATGAAATACTTTTTCAGTTTTGCAAACCTGTCTATCTCCCCATCCCTCCCCTTTCTCCCTGCCCCCCTGTCCTCTTCCTCCCCCCTCTTCCCACCCCCCTTCCTTCCAAAACCCACTGATAACTGCAGTTCACCACAGCAGGCAGATGGCGACATCAGGGCAGTCAGGGGAGAAGCACTCTGAAGTGCTTTGGGCTAGGGTTCAAGGCAGAAGAGGGGAAAGGGACCTATTGGTGGGAGTCTACTATAAACCCCCTACCCAAACAGAGGAGCTTGACCAGGAATTCTTGGGTCAGCTCACCAAGGTAGCAAAAGCTAAGGATGTGGTAGTCATGGGGGACCTGAACTTCCCAGACATCTGCTGGGAAGAGCAGTCGGCCAGGTCCGAGCGCTCACGTAGGTTCCTGGAGAGAGTCCAGGACCTTCATCTAACCCAGGAGGTGCACAGCCCCACCAGGGGGGATGCCTTGTTGGACTTGGTGTTGGCCACGGGC